AATGTTCATAAATCAATGAAAATTTGCTTGCTTACGTATCCAGAAAGTAAAATTGACTAGGTGAGATGCCCTCAAGCTGTTAAAACATAGACCAACACCTGAAATACCTCATGCAGACAATTGTGCACATATCACTGTGCTTATTCATAAATATATATTCAGTGGAGACGAGGCCTTCGAGCAGAACACTGATTTAAAACTGTGGGCATAGAACTATCCAGCACATGAAGAAAAAGAGAGCGCATAAACAAATAGTGACTTGATTATCTCAAAAAAGAACAAGTTGGGGTACCTGCATGACTTAGATGGAGCAATATATAACAGCGATTTGTGGTCTAAAAGCTTCCTCGCGAAATGGTAATTTTTATATAAGAGTTGATTTATTATGAGGCATCACAGATATCCCACAAGGATAAAATAAGAAGGACTTGAGCACTAAGTTTCTCACCATATCAAATCTAATCCCATTTAAGTAGTCTGGTGCCATGATAAGTAAGATATATTGCATCTTGAAATCAGATTTGCAAAAAAAGAAAGAACAAGAAAGAAAACACACACACATATATGAAGGGTGAGGAGAAGCAAAAAGAAACTAATAAAGTTGAAAGAGAGAGAGAGAGAGTCATCCAGGAAAAAAAAAGACCTCAGACGAAAACAATGCGCACCTCCAATTCTAAATTTAGCTCTAGAAAATGTATTGGCCAAAAGAGTAGCCTCCAAAATGTACAGGTGCAGCATGATGATTTGTGTCAAAAATAACGGTTAAATACAGTTAATATTGTCAATAATAACTGAACATGGAATCAGCTCTGTATCACCAGAGAAAATGGATATAATCTGTAAAAAATTATCTATAGAAATTCTGACATGATGATGCTTTGTAATGCACCCTAATATTAATGTACAAACCCAGATTGACTGATAACGATCAGTAGCTGAATGATTTATTTGTTTGTGTGTGTGTGTATATATATGTGTATATTTATATATATTCTTCCATCCACACGTACCATGTTAAATACCTTCAGAAACCAGGAAGGCCCATTTGCAGTCCAGATGTATCATGTATTCATGTATAACTCCTATATATATATCTGTGTGCCTATCCAAGCTTTATAGGTCTCTTAGCAGCAATTATTCTAACCACCTGGAATCCCTCAATACATTCAATATACATGGAGATATTGCTGCAAATACATTCCAATACATTGCTTGTGTGTATTTTTGTTTATAATACGAGGTTGATTTTGTAACCATTGCATGTGTTTCAATCACTGAGATAGAGAGAAACAGATGTAAATATGAATCTAAATATGTGAGTGCAGTGAATCTTTTATTCGTGTACTCACAGATTTCATAGTTTTTTTTTTTTTTTTTTTGTTTTTTTCCAAATTGGATCAGACCTTGAGGTTTTTATTAACTGGATAAGAACAATTGAGGGAGGGGGGGAGGCATGGACTTAATACAAGACTACACTTTTCAAAGTAAGTTCAAACTGTTATTAAGTACAGCAACTTGGACTGCCACATAAGTAAATGTATATCCATACAGCGATATATCCATGCAAGGAGTAAAGGATGACATTATTTTCACTGTAGACAAATATCATTTTGAAGCTGGTGAACAGCTCACAAAAGAGGCCGGACTTTGTTGCCTAGATGTCTGTGTAACATTGCACAATGTCATATACAGTTTTCTGTGAAATCAAATAGCAAAAATCATATCTCCATCAGTGAGAAAATATCCAAATTGACTTTTAAAAATGAACCCCTCTTTTCTTTTTTAAAACATAAATTCACTATTAAAAATATTGCCAATGTGAAGATATATCTGGCCTCATATCAACAGTTATCAGACAAATGCTGTCCTCTTGATTTAATTTGTTTTGCAATACTTGACTGAGATATCTTCCAAAAATGAATGAACTACTACTATATCAAGGTCTGATCCAATGAATGAACTACTATATATATATATATATATATATATATATATATATATATATATATATATATATATATATATATATATATATATATATATCTTGTCCGGCCATGCCCACTTGGAACAAATTTTCATCCACCACTTCTGTCAACTTCCAGGTGCGTAGTTC